ATAGCTAAGTATGTGAAACATCTGCTATCCTGAAAGTTCTTTGCATTATGTTCTATTAAACCCTTTGGTTGGTTTGACTTAAGCTCCAACTACCAACAATGAATTTCAGTTGACATGAGTGCACTTGAAGCAATCCATATACAGTGAAGTCCAATAGTTCTTATACCTGGAATGCAAAGAGCAGCACAAGCACCAAAAACTCATGCCAGTAAAAAAAATGGCAAAAAATGTGAAGCCATTTGGCTGAAAACATGTTCCAACAAATTTGTAGCCAAATAGGCTGTACAAGAAGTTCATGTTCTAATGCAAAACCAGCAACAAATGGAAGATCTGCAAGGCAAACCCATGCACTTTTCCATTGAGCTCTCAAGGTTTGTCCCTGACTGCTTTGCAGGTACCCCAAGAAGATGAACTTCCTTTAAAGTTCTTTCTTCTATTTCCCCTTTGCTTTCTGCTGCTGCTGCCATTTGATCCATGCTTCTCGCCCAGGCAATCTCAAACCTGCAAATGAAGGCTTCAAACATGCAGAGCAGCCATTGGAGTTGCCACGACATCGAATGCATCCATACTTGAGGTTGCCATTCTTGTGCTTGCCAACCTTGGTAGGTTTCTCAACACTGGTTGGACAAGGTCTTTGGAAAGGCTTGCTGGCTGCAGGCCTCTTAAGGCAGGCTGCTGGCCTTTTCATAGGCTTTTGTCCACTGCCGGTTTTCTTTCCACTTAAAAGGTCAAATGCTTTCTGCTCAAACTCCTCCAAGGATGTAGGCTGCTTATCAGCATCCTCTGGCTCTGCCAAAGGACTGGAAGGCAACTCTTCCTTGGAGGCTGACTTGCTGTGACATGCGCTTTCAAAGCTGCCTTTGGTTTGAAGAGGCAAAGTTGTTGAAGACTGCTGCTGCTTTTGCTGAAGAGCTTGTATTCCCTTGACTTTGACTTTGGAAGCAATCCAAAGACCTTGCCCTGGTGAGCATCAATTCAAACATTTTCCACATAGACTCAGGACTGTTCTGTGGAGTAGCTGGGGCCCTGTCCTGGTGTTTCTGAGCAGGAACATGCTCAGGTTGGAGTAGTGCATGAGTGTTTCTCACAGGCAAAGGCTTCAGCAATGCACCCACACTGGTTCCCACATCAGGAGGTACATGAGCTGGTGGATCACCATCTTCATAGCAAGACTTCAAGAAATCCTCAAGCTGCCAAACAACAAATGAACACATGATGTGAAAAGATACAAAATAAAGCAGCACATAAAAAACACTTTTATGCAAGTTTCTTCTCCAAGCTCATTTGGAAATGGTGGGTATTTTGAATAACCAGCAACTGCAGGAGCCTGAGATGAAGACACAAAGCATTGCCTCACATGGTTTGCAAGCTTCTTTTGTTCTCCAGCAGGTGGTAAAGGATGCCCTTGTGCTTGCTGGAGGTACAGCAAGAATGCACAAGCTGCCTTTTTGGAGTCTTCCTTTAGACTAATCAGGCCACATTTCCTCATGCGACCCACCAAAGTGGCAGAAGCTTCCATGAGACCTTGAGACTGAATCTTCTCCCACTCCTTGGAACTCAAATAATTGTAGACTTGTCTCATTGACTGTGGAGTTGCTGTCACCCTGACTGCACCGACTTGGGACTCTGATGTTTTCTCTTCACATACTTCAATGATGTTGTCTTTTATATTCTGTGGGAGCTCCAAGGCTTCCAAAGCATCCATTATCTGCAAGAAAGCTGATGGGCCAATGTCAGGGATTGCCCTCAGCTTGGCAAGAACCGACTTGAGCATCTTTTCAACCAAAGAGCTATTGGCTCTTTTCTGGAATATCTTGTCCAAATCTTTCATTTCCCTCAGCAAGTCTTCTATGCTCCACTGAGCCATCTGAGCAATAGATCAGAATAGATCTAAATGAGTGAAAGCTTTTGCCAAAATGGCTTGCAGTTGAAATAATACTTGCAACATGTTGCAAACACACTTTGAAATAGAGTTTTGGTCATCCATACATTCCAAATACAAATCTGAAGCCATTATGGCTAAAGTTGGCAAATCAATACAAAGTCAAAATCTGCAGCAAACAAATGCTTAGCCAAAATCATATTTAAAATGTGAAGCAAAAATGCGAAATATTTTCAGCAAAGTGATGCAACACATGAGCTCAGTCTTTTCACTCATCAGTCTGACAGCTATAACACACATGTCTTCCAAACTTGATGCTCACAGCTTTGCTCTGGGCGCAAAGAATCTATCACCACTGTCCACCACCCTGCCAAGAGCAGAATTGGCCATGTCGAGCCCTTCACAAATGATAAAGCTCTGGAACAAGCGCTTCAAGATGTCATCATTCATCACCAGCCTGAGTTGTGCATATGGAAAGCAAATGGGTTTGCAAATAACATCTACCATGAAACCTACAAACAAAACATACTTGATCTATGCAAGTAGCGTCTTGAAGGTTTCAGAGTCCTCAATTCACACTGGCTGTCCAACAAAGCAATTACAGTTAAAGACAAATTTCACACAACTTTCTGAATGGTTGTACAAGTTTCAAAGCGAGCTTGTTCAATGACATGCCATTCTGGCAGGTGCACACTGTCATAGATCTTGATCTCTGAGCTACCATCAGCTGAAGGTGTATAGATTCTGAAAGACTCTGTGTTATCCAAAGCCATAATGATCCTGATGCCCAATGGCCTGAAGTGGAAAGCTGCATACCGAGTAGGAGATGCCATGGCTGAGATCTGTTCACAGAGAGTGTTGATCTACTGTGACTTGTGTGATGTCACCAAAAGCTTGAAAAGTCAAACAATTTCATTCAAATACATTATAGTGGTTGAAGTTGGTTAATGTTTGTCAATGGTTAAAAACTGTAAAATTATAATGACCAGCAAATGCACACACTTACACATTTATTTCAAAATTTAGTTAAAACAGCTTTAGATACCTTAAATCTTAAATTATATATATAAATTAAATTCTAAAATATTTTTGATTTCAATTTCTAATTATAAATTGAAATTAATACATTTTAAATTTCAATTTATAATTATAAATTGAAACTAAAACATTTTTGATTTCAATTTATAATTATAAATTGAAATTAAGACACTTTAAATTTCAATTTATACATTTTAAATTTCAATTTATAATTATAAATTGAAATTAAAAAATCTTAAATTTCAATTTATAATCATAAATTCAAAAAAATACATTTGTATTAAATATAATAGCTATATTTTCAAAAATATACAAAAATATTGTTTAAAATACTAAATGTGTAGCCAACAACAAAGGCTTATACAAATGACATACATAGTTAAATTTGTAGCCAACCAAAGCTTACTTCCAGAAAAGCAAACAACCAAGAGCAAGAAGATATGACATCTTTTCCTCAGCACAGATTGCAAACTCAAATCAGCAGCAGTCAGCTGCACAAAGGATGTGAAAACTGAAAGTCCTTTGGCCATCCACACTCATTGATTTTCTTCTCCAAGATTTGTATCACTGGTTTCAGAGTGGGATGGCTCATGTATCGCATCATGATCCTTCTGGTCCTTGGCAAGTCTCCCTGTTTGTACGCAATGAGCAGCAGTGCCATTTTCATCAACCAGCCTTGCTGTTGACCAGGTAGAACTGGAGCCTGAAAGAGTGCAATGTGCAACAAATGTTTTACATAATTGAAATATACATAGATATTTGAACAATGATACAAAATCTAATCAATGAAATAGAAAACCTTCCCACATGAATGGCCAGTGGCAGAGTATTTGGTTGCAACTGGTCCAAAAAGCCTGTTCTTCATTGCAAGGACATCTACCTTGCACTTTTTGTCCTCATTGGCTTCAGGATCTGAAGGTTTTGCTTTTCTTTTGCGCAAAGCCTTCCATGGTGGTGCATCTCCTGAAGAAGCTTCACCCTGAGGAAGCTTGGGTAGTGTGTCCACCACTGGTACTTCTGGTCCCAATGCTACTTCTGGTTCAAGTACTTTTGCAGTCATTGGTGGCTCAGAAGGCTGCTCACCAAGCTTTTTGTATGATTCATCTTTTGCCAAGCCAGGGCTTGTGTTCTCTGCTTCAGGTTCATGTGGAGCTGTGCCATGATCTTGTGGAAAACCAGCCTGCTCCACAATCTGGCGAAGGGCCTGCATTCAGAACAAGTGCTTGGTTTCATTGGATGAACAAAAAAACATACCCTCAAACTCATGAAAAGCTTACAGAAGCACTTCAGCCAAAGATCTTTCTCATCTTCCTTGTGGGCTGCTTCCAACATAGTCAAAAGCATTGCATCTAAATCTGTTGTCTCCATGTCTTCAAATGGGTTGTCCTCCTGCAATATCAGGGCGATTATCTGCAGCAGCTAATGAGCATCTTGTCTTGAACAATGAGATCTTTATTGAATACTTTGTTAACCAAAACAAATTGTTTATGCAATTCAATCAAATCATGTTCACTATCCAGTCCTCAGGCACTGGGTCTTCCCAGCGGTCCCATGAGTCATCTGCATTGGTGCGCAGGGCAGCATGACTTCCACATGGCTGGGGCGACAAAGACCTTTTCATTTCAACCCCATAAAGTGTGGCTGAAGCAATTGTTACAACAATAGTCAACACAAATGAAGACTGCTGAGGTTTTAGTATGGAAAGCCTTAACCACAGGTGATAACTGTTCATGACAGTACAAGAAGCTGTGGAACCATAAACACTCCATTATTTTGCAAACATTAGTTCCAATGCAAATATTGGAGCTTCTCAAAAAGCTCTCAAACAAATAGCGTGGAGCTTACAAGCAAATCTGTAGCCTTTAAGCTTCACATGATAATGAAATGAAAAACACTCAGCAAACATTCAACCAAAAAGAATTTGGTGCCTCACAGGCAAAACAATAGCATGCTTTCTTAAACAAACTCTGGAGCTTAAAAGGAAGCTTCTCAAAAATATTGGCGAAAATAATTGCAGCGCACTTTTTCATGAGCCTTTTGAAGTCTGCACACCTATTCAGTTTCTTTCAAAATTGCCAGCCTATGCCTTCCTCCGCTTCTTTGCAGGGAGCTCTGCTTTGAGCACATCTGAAGGCCTTGTCAGCCATGTATTTGGACCAATCACATCCTTGTTCTCCAGAATGGGGATGGTTGCACCCTTGTACTCAATGTAAGCCAAGCTCATGTTGGCCTCATTCTCATCCTCAGTGGTTCCCACAAGCCAAAAGGGACAAAGTACTCCAGGATCTTTGGGTTTGTCGAAGTTGGAAAAGGTCTTGAAGGGAAGGAGGTCATACTTTACCTCATTGAACTTCACACAAAAGCGCTCCTTCTCCTTTGCTGAGTCTTTGGGCTTGTTGCAAAAGCCCACAGGATAAAGCTGAAGCTCTTTCTTTTTGAATTTCTTCAAGGTCATCACCCCTGCTGGGCACATGGTGAATCCCAGCATCTCTTCATTTGGTTTTTTTGGAATTCATATATGCATCTAAAAGGAAGCTGTTGACCTGCAGCCTGGAGAACTCATCCAACACAATGGTTGAAGTGTGAGGGAGCTTCAGGGCTGCCAAGGCTGCAGGGCACATAGAAGTCCCTTGCTTCTTTGTATGTTTCCAGTTCTTCAAGCTCTCATAGGATTCCTGTACTTCCTCTGGATCACCAAACAGAGGAGTATGGACAAAAGTAGCGCAATCATCCTTGAGGCTCTCCAAGCGAAAGAGTTTGTCTGAGCCATGTTCTTTATGAAAGAACCTCACAAGACACCAACAACACACCAACAGTGAAGAAAAGAACATACAAAACCATAGCTGAAAAAGGTTGACAAAGCTGAAGACTTCCAAGGAACATCTTGCCAACCTCAATCTGGGAGTTCTGCAACTTTGCAATGTCTGCATTGGAGCAATTGATCAGATCATGTACTTTAACATCTTTTTTTTGCTCAGTGCTAGCTGCAGTGGAAGCTGAATCACCTTTGAGATCATCTTGAAATTGCTGGACCACTTCTTCAAAGGACTCAAAGGAATCCTTCTTTTGCTTCATGACTGCTAGCAAAATCATGCGCCTGCAAAAGTTCCCAAAGGCTTGGGATGCAGAAACCTGTGGTAGAAGCCCTTCGCATGCCTTCCAAGCATCACTAAGCATTGTCTCAATGTCTGAGAGCTTCTTGTGACTCTTGAGCTTCTGGAAGTCACTGGGGTAGATGAGCTTGGAAATTCCATTCATGGACTTGGGACTGGTGAGTACAGTTGCCAGAATGGCAATCCTGAGGAACATGCAGCAGGTGCTTGCAAGCTTGAAGTCAGTATGCGCAAGAAGGTTCATGCATTCTTCTCCAGCCAGCAGGCTGCGACCTTCTGCCTTGCCTCAGAGAATTGCAAGCTGAACCATGAAGCATGGGACACCATCAACAAGCATCCTGAGCCAAAAAACTCAGAAGAAAAGCATTGACCATGATTTTAGCAAAGAAACAAAATGAATCCAGCCACTTCAAAAGTGGAAAAGCATCTCCTCCAGCGTAGAGCCTGACAAACAATGCTACATCCTGGAGGTAAGCCATGCATGCAGGTGCAGATTGCTCCACAGCACTGATTGCTGCAGACATTTGCATCCCTGACTTGTAAAGGCTGCTCAACTGCATCATGCATTCAAGCTCACTTGCAGCCAGAGCATTGGTGTTCTGGGCATTCATCGACATGGATCCAAATGATGCCAGAGTTGGAAAGATCTGCTCTGCTTCAGCCTTGATTACCAACCACTGCCACCCTTCCTCCAACAAAGGCTTCAAAGAAGCTGTGACAGTCAGTTTCCTGCCTTCAGGGTTGGAAGCTCCATACTCAACAGCTCTGAGCCACTGTGTGAAATGGCTTGAAGCAATGCTCAGAAAGCGCTCAGTACCATGCAAAGGAGACAGCATATTGTCAGCTGAAGCGACCATCTTTTTGTTGGCTTCAATTTGCTGTGAGCGAACATGAGGCAGTGTGGACAGTTCCACACAGAGGCTGTTTGCAGTCAACAAATCACTTTTCACTCCAGCTTGTAAAATTGCACTGCCTTTCTGGTGGGCATCGTGATGGTTGATCATTGATGATCCTCTATTGCATGGATGCACCATGACATCCCTTGGTACAATGGTGGTGCTATACACCAGTCCATAGCCCTTCAGAATCTCCAAGATCATGTTCAACCTGGTGTTCACACCCAGAGTGCATCCTGTACTGAGAAGACCTTCGACCTTCTCTTTCACATCTGGTGGCACCGACATGGCTGGACTGGTGCCAAGTTCTTGCAAATCACCAGTAAAGTGTTTGCCTTTGCTTGGTTAACATGTTGCACTTCAAGCTATGCCTTTTGTGTTTTTGTGTGAACCCTCAGGCTGCTTCTCTCAAAAAACTGCTTTCATGTTTGTGACCTGCACATTTCTCAACAAATTCCTTCAAGAACCTCACAGCAGGAGGATCCACAAGAAAACATCTGTCAAACACACAACAAAACAGAAAGCCCAAAAAAGGCTTGTGAGCAAACAAATTCACACATTGCAGCTAAACAAGAAGCTGAAAAAGCTCAAACAAAATGTGCACAAACAAGAGCACATGTTCCCAGCCCAAACAAGGAACAGCACTTTTTTTTCCATGACTCCACCAAGGCTCTTGTCTCAGGAGCTCCCAGCGCCACCAGCCTTTGCAAATTTGCCACTCTTGGTGTACTCACGCTTGGAAATGCTTCCATCTTGGCAATCTGCCTCCAAATGCCCGAAGACTGCTTGTAGCTGATCAGGTTGAAGAAGCACCATCACATCTGAGCTACTGGTTCTTTTGCCAGGAGCAAGCATTTGTACTTGTACAGCGCCAAGTTGCACCTGCAAGACATGTTCATGCTTTCTCTTTTTGCTATTCTCTTCACCCTTTTCTTCTTGAGCCTCAATCTGCTCATTCCTCAACCTCTTAAGGTCAGCCATTGCCCCTCCATTTGTCAAGGTTTTGTCACCATTTCTCCCACACACCAATTTGCACAGAGCTGGTGAGCTTCCTTGAAGCTTCAAATAAGAATTTCCATCCAAATCCTTCAGGGCAAGTTAGTGGCTTGTTTCAAAGAGTTCATGCATGGCTCATTTAGAAACACATGCGAACAAGAGTCCTTCACCAACATGTTCTTTGGGATTTCCACTTTCTTTCGACCTTTGTAGGAAAGCTCCAGTTTGTAGCCAATAGTCACATTGTTTGCTTCTGCTGCTTCTTCATCTGACATTGCATGTGCTAAAGCTACACTGACATGCTCACCAAATATGGAGCCAAACCTTTCAAAAATTGAAGCTGCCGCCACAAACAAAACCAGAAGCTGGAACAAATCCAGCTGGTGTGCGCTGAGAAACAAAAACAAAACAATTCTAATCAAAAGCCCATTTGGTTGCAACATAAACCAAAAAGGGGTGGAAAGACATGTGCAAATGCAAGTGTTGCTTTTGCTTGCTAAAAGGAAATTCATTTGAAATAGTCTTGCTTTCAAAAATAAACATAGGCCCATGGGCAAAATTCTTATCACCAGAAGGTGTTTCTATCAAAGCGAAACAACAAACCAAAGTAAGGAAAATAATGAACATAATTTGCTTCTAACTATGTTAACTTTTGAGCTAATGTGTCTAAAATTTTAAGATAGTTAAGATAATTAGCTAAAAGTTAACATAAATTACTAACTATCTTAAAAAACATAACATAATTACAACAGTTATAACAATTTAGGAGATGGTTAGCACATGGTTAGGATATCATTAGTATTTAGTTAGTATTTAGCTTAACTATCTTAACACATTAGAAAAGCACAGCCCATCTCAGTGCTCCGTGATGGATTCAGTCGATGCCCGCATGGATCTCAGGTGGCATGTCTCGTGCACATCTCTCTTCCTTGCAAAGGCGGATCCCCTCTCTTGAATTTTTGGGGAAGGAATGAGAAGCACGAGAAAGAGTTCTTCTATCTGTTGAAGTCATCTGGAAAGTATCTTGATGAGATCAAGTCATCTGATGGAGTGTCCGTCACTGTTTCGTTCGAACTGCCGAGAAGTAATCAATACTGGAAGAGTCGAGATCTTCAGAATTTCTTCGAAAAGCACGGAATGGCATATCAGAGTGAATGTCATGCTTGTTCAATGGGATTGGAAACCCAGAGTGGACTTCGAATTGGCAAAATTTTCAGGATTCAGAGTTCCAACTCGTTTTTGAGTCAGCGGTTGAACTCTCGCTTTCAATGTCGTTGCGATGAGAGTCATGCACCATTCAATGCAGTTGATTACCATGATACTGAAAGGTACTCAATGAAATTTGCCCGTTTTCTTGTGAAGAGTTTTTGCATCTGTGCATCCTTGAGGTGAGAACCCAAGCTGAGCAACCGACTGGCTGAGAGCCTTTGCTTTTGTTGCTGCACAGATAGCTTGATGACACTTGCGGATGAAGCTTCCGATGATCGATGTGAAAATACGTGTGCATGAGATGCCGCTGGAATTCAATAGCTTTTGAACTGTGATTGTTCACACCTTCTAGACTGTTTACTGTAGAGTCTGTCGAGAGTCGATGAAATTGGATCAGGTTTTTGACAAAGGTACTTCATGAATCTTGTCTCGGTCTGTGTGACCACCTTACTTCGAGAGACTTGAAATCAGTTGAACAGTGAGACTGTTTTTCAGGAAGCCGTGCTCATGTCGAAATGACCCTTGAGTCGTCCCTTCCTATCTTTTCTTTCCTTTCGGAGAACTTTTCTTCGCCGAACTTTTCCGCAGCCGTTTGTGTGTGTGGGGCGTCCGCGCGGGAAGCCATGTTGTCGTTTGAGGGCAGCTGCATTGCTGCGCTGGCGTTGTATGGCGCGCTGAGTTTGCTTGTGAAGCTTTTTGGCGCTGCTGGAATGGCGAAGAGCCTTTTGGGACAGAAGAGGATGATGGCCGAGAAGCCAGAGAAGCAAGAGCCGTTGCTGAGAGAGAGAGTCTCTGCTGCTGCTTCTACAGGTGCTGCTGCGTCGAGCGCTGCTGGCCGGCCGAGTGGTGTTGAGAACACTGCAACCTCCGAGTGGATGAAGATGAATGCAGTGAACAAGGTACTTGAGGTTTTTGTGACCTCGACTGGGTCCAAATTCCACCTTGACCGTCAATGCCAATACTTGCGAGGCAAGAAAGTCACCTCTTTTGGTTTGTGTAGCTGCTGTGAGCGCAAGCGCTTACTGGAACAGCGAGTGACCACTGTCCAAAGTGGCATGTGAGCTTCGAAAGGGGGTGTGAGAATTTATAGTACTGAGGAGCGAAGACTCCATACCACTTGTTTAGAGACCGCAAAGAAAGCCATGGAGAGTTTTGGCTTGTTTGAATGACGTTCGTTAGCTTTTGAGGACATTGAAAGATCCCTTTCAATGTTTCCATATGTTTGTAGTTTGTGCATGAGGTGTCTGAGAACACCCGAAGATGTTTAGACTATGCTCTTAGTTGTTTCCAACTGTTTTTAGAACCTTTGTGAAGCGTAGAACTGTTTTGAGTATGGTTTTGCATGTCCACAAATGTCCCGAGAACATTTGTGAACCTTGGAGAACGTTCGTCACTTTGGCTCAAGTGTGCGGCGAAAAGTGTGCGTGTCTTGTGCCTGCTTTTTCTTTCGTTTTCGACTCGGGTCGTTGAGACACTTGACTGACTAGGTGTTTTGAGCACG